CCCTCTGATAAATCGGCAAATGAGTAGACGGATCACCTGATGATAAGCAAGCGGCACCCGTTAGACGCTAGAGAAGTTACAAATGCGTTGCCAACCTTTTTAGAGATTTGGGGATTGAGTACTTGGAATAATTGAGCCTATATTTTTATAATAACTGTCGTGAGACATACTACATTAACTTTACTGCATTAACGCCTTTCTCAATATTTTCACGTGAGTTGAATATTTTTCATATTTTTAGTTAACTGAGCCTAACGTAGTTTCCACCTAAAATCTCTAATTCTCGCGTTTAGTGTAATGGCTTGGGATTGAGACTTATTTAGCATCGGAACTGTAAGGTACTTGAAATAATACTGGGCTTACTACATAAGCATTTCTTAAATATAAGCAAGCAACTTACCAACAGTAGTGACAGGCGCCCTGATCGGCAGTACGCCATAAGAATACTGGAACAATCCACGCCCCATGGGAAACATCGGGGAGATACCGGTGATCTGACGCACTTTCTCCTGGAATCTACGGAGCAGGCTGTTCTCAGGGTTGTTCGGGGGACGGAACAAATCCGTCTCGCCGAAAGAAAACACTGGAACTAGAGCAGCCCTGAAAAAACGTAGAAAGATAACATAATATAATATTGAAAATACAAAGAAAAAGTTAGGGGAGTTAGATATGTGTGGCACGAACAAGACTTACCCAGACTTCATCGCAACACGAATGAATCCCTTCCTTCTACTGAGAATCACTTTATACTCTTTAGGATGAGCATCCAAAGCTTCAGCAGCACCTCCGATAATCATGCAAGCGCAGTTCCCTTCATACTTCTTCTTGTCTAACAGATACAGAAGACTTTGTTCCGAAGACGAGCATATTCCAAGTGCCAAAGCCAATTCTCTGAAGAAAGGAACTAGGAAATGTCCTCCTAAAGTGATGAGATGGCAAGTCATGCCAGGGAACAGTTTTTTGAAGTCTAAGGCGTTTGTGCAGAAACTTCCGAAGGCTCCAAGGGATATAACACCGTGGGGGAAGCATGCGAACATGTAGTTCTTAGAAGGATCCAAGTCGACAGTCTTTACTAGCTTGATTGGAAAATAGTCGGCAAGGTACCGCCACCATATCCAATTTCTCACCCATTCTGACCTGGAATTACAAAATTCAGGACATTAGTATGATACCATTAAAAAAGGAAAGTAAGTAGCACGATTTTATGAACACGCCCATTAACTATTAGTTGATGATGGTGAGTAAGCGTGTTTTATAGGTTTTTCGACTGTTTTCTATAGTAGGGAAGATAAATAAATTGAACGAACAGAAGTGACAGCTTTTCGGATGCTTGACATTATTTTTTTCAATTGCTTTATGTTCAAAGTCATGTCATTGTATTCCAAACATGTGGTTGCTTTTAATTGAAGGATCACAAGGCTATTGTAATGTCTGGTGGATTATATTTTAGCATGTAAGTGTATCTTTTATTGGGAGTCCAAACTCCAGTATAAATAAATAAATGATAAGTCGTTATGCATGTAGGTACTAGGCACTAGCAAAGAGTAAATAAAGCTGAAAAAAACTTACGATCGTCCACCACGGTTGCAAATTTCGATATCATTCAACATCCATACTCCATAGAGTATGGCCGCCCACCAATACTTGGAGTATACCAGTCGAATGAAGAGATATACAGCAAAGGCTTCTCCGAAGAGTATGAGGTAGATCCAGAGGAAAGCTGCAAAGGTCTGAAGGCGACGGGACATGGGGATGTCCATGGGAGCCCATTGTATACCCAGCAGCGTCGACACTTGGCTGAAATTGAGACAAAAATTTCGTTAAAAGTTAATTAGAGTAAGGTGTATATTGATTGATGGTCTGTCGATGAAAATAATATTGCAATCAATATAAAATATGGTTTGCTGACGAATATCACAAATGTTTTTTTTTATTTGCAAGTTTCCGTTCCGTAACCTATAGAAAAAAGTGGATTGTCGATCTCAGAGAAGATACATACAGCACATTAGCTGTACATAGTGTAACATTAATTGTCATTATCCTATACTCAGGGGTCTTAAAGATACTTTGGACATTGTTTCGGTATTTTTTTTAAGGGGAAAAATCATCGAATTCCTGCTCCCGCCTGGGTGAGGCGGGAGGGAGTGTCAGACTCTTACTGACTAAAAACCACCCTGTTCCTATTCCTGCCCTTCGAGCCGGAGCCCCGGCAACCCGTTAAGTCCTCCGCGGCTCCATATCGGCATCAGCCTTATTGGGCCCCATCCGTGGTGGATCGCTTCGGTATTGTATTAGTATTTCGGTCTATAAAATCAATACTGCAAGACGGATACACAAATAATTTTGTTACCACGAGTAGAATTGTTATGAAATGATTCACGTCATATCTAATCTGGTTGGTTTATGTCCATAGGTAGTAAAATTAATAATGTGCTTATTGCACCTATCTAATAATGTGAGCGATAAAGGTTTTAATATAGGATGTCATTATATTTTAATATTTTTACTACATAGGTATCTAGGGTTTTAAACTTTTAAGTATGTATTAAAGTTATGTGTAAAATGATTATGACTTTCTTTGTGATAATTTTTAGATATTGCAACCGCCTAGGTATAATAATTTACCTGATTATTGTACCTATCATTGTATATTATATATTGCCATATCTTATAATAAGTAAATCCCCAGGAAAAAAAGTAATAGGAGGAGATAGCGGTCAGTCGAACTGAACTAACTAAACTCCCGCGGATGCGCAGTCCACAGAAATAATATATCTGTGGCGCAGTCCCAAGTTATAGTTTTGTATTGAGCCATATGTGTACAAAACACGATAACATTGTGTAGATTATAGATTGTTTCTCGACTCTAGGTCAAAATTACAATCTATTGCAATTTATACGTTATCAGTATTGGTTTTAACAAGAATTTCTATTAATAAATAGCCATATACAATAAAGACTGGCGCTTATAAATAGTACATACTTAGTTGAACTTGTTTCTATCACAGTACAAAGTTGAACTGCCTTACAATAAGTTGGTAAATACGCACTTATTATAATACTCTGGACGTATTTATTTCTTCGAGTACATAGTTTAATAATAAGACGTAAACAAAATAGGGTCATTAGTCATGTTTTACTCATCTATGTAAGTACCTTAAACCTTTGTTCCTTCCGTTCTGTTTGCCCTTTGTATTTAGTTAACAGAAACCGCGGAAGTAAAACAAAGAGTTGCACTTGATGACCTTTGAACATAAAGATTTGACATGATCACATGAGTAAGACCTTCTATGTCATAGATACGTTTACAAACACTGCGGTCTTTGCGCAGTTCCGAAAAATTCCTGTTTTCGGGTGATAAATTGCGTAGCACTCGTAGCAGTTCCTACGCCTCAACTATGCTTATGTTTGCCAACTTGTTCTGACAGAAAAAGTATATTTGAATTAGGAAAAAAGTATTTATAAGAAAAAAAAGGATTTACATTTTTTTCAAATTCGGAATTATTCGGCATTTTTAAGCATTAACTTTCACTTTAGTTACTTTAATTACCTAAAACTAAAGACTATTTTCATACAATTTCGTCTATAGTGAGATCTGAGACAATCTGACTGGTCAAGATCATTTTTGGTCAGTAATTATAAATCGTTTACTATCATCTTTTTTAACTTATAAGTATCGTTAAATAGTAAAGTACTTAAGTACCTACTTACTCATAAATTCCATAGTGAGTCGAATAATTTCTATGCATCGCAGCAAAGGTTGAAAATAAAGTATTTTCATATAAGTACTTTATTTGTATGCTATAGAGTAAGAATTTGTCTCCACAGAAACGAAAACTAAGTACTTACGATTAGATTATTGGGTCCTCGTCGACCCAATAACTGTTGTTATCAGTCATTACCTTGCAACGTTCACGTGTAAGAAGAGGTAAGAAAGTGCCTACCTACAAAGTGCAGGTATTCTGTATTCATCGTAATCGTAAGGCCGATAACGTTTTATCAGGTGTATCGAGGCGATATTACGAAATGTAGGTAAGCCTGTAATCTATGAAGAATGTTTCCTCCTTTCAGTTTAAATGTGGAACAGTGATCAACAAAATGTTAGGTTACTTTAATGTAGGATACCGAAGTATTGACATAGTTCTGATATTTGTATTACGCAAGTTTTAACTTCAGTAGACGCACTAGAAGTCACTCGACCAACGAGGCAACGCAATAAGCTTTATTATTTTCTAGGCTTTGTAACTTCCCCATATTAGGTTTATATCGCCAGACTGTTCAATGAAAGGTTATTATAAAAATAAGTACATAACGTACCAAGGAAGGTCTGGACATTGATCTTAGCAGTTATAAATCTAAGACACAAGGCTATACCTAAACATCAACAGGATGAGTAGCAATTTTATAATATTGTAGGTACCTGTGTAAGTACGTCATTAGATACCTACCAAGTGTTGATGACGATGAGAATGCTTCCGCCTTCCATGTTCAATTCAAGGGACTTTTGAGTAAGATTTCTGGGTAGACCTAACTATCTAATACGATTTAACTGTTTTAGATTATCGAAAGGCGCCGTTATAGCGTGGATTTCGAGTATGGGTGGAGCACCGAGCATGGCTTTGTATATTCCTAGCAACTTAAGCGAGTGTTTCTTCTCTGCTGATAAAAGCATGACGTTTAAAGTTAATTAATATTAGTAAGTTAAGAAGCAATTATGTTTTTTTGTTGTAACCAACTAGCGTTTATTATCCACTTCGCTGATTATTTTTTTGTGTCAGGAGTGCCAAGGTTGGTTTAAGGTAATAAGCATTAGACTTTCAAAGTACCTATCTTTTAATGACTTTTGGACTTCAGCAAGTCCTTCACGCATTATAAACTCGTAACTCCATTACGTCAAGGAATAGATTTATGGAGCATGTGGAAGTATATAGGTAGGTACTGGGTATTATCCTTATGTTAGATATTTGTTTTCCCAGCAGGATACAGTAGGTTACTACATATCTAAGATAAAGTCCATTTGGACAAGTTTAACTTATCAATCTCTTATGGCCATCTTATGGCCCTTTTGGCAAGGGCACGCACCGTTAAATGTTATTTATTTATTTATTTATATCTTGTTTTTTATTAATTTTTAATTATTTTGTTAGTATTCTATTGTCACTGTTTTGTTATACGTTGTCGTTTCTTTGTGTTTTTTTTTCTATATCTGTATAAATAAGTTTATTTATTTGTTATTTTCTCTTTTAATTTTGTTTTTTTTTTGTATCTGTGTGCGTGCCTACTGTCGAATAAATGATTTTTCTTCTTTCTTCTTCTTCAATTTCTTCAAAATCGTACTAGGTATAGATAAATCATTTTATTATACCTAGGCCGTAAACAGATGCAGTGATCCTTAAAAGAGGTCAAGAACGAATAGCTCTCAACTGGTGCATCTGTATGATTGACGAGGGAGCGAAATATGTTGCAAGACGAACGGTTCACAGGACGACGATTTGTAGTTTCTGTACACTCCCATAGGACAAAATGTGTATGAATAACTTTACATATTTCTATGACCTAGTCTTTTGTCACTACTAGACCACCACACAAATTAGCCAAATTGAACATGATTAAAATTAATAGGTAACGTTTAGTTCGCTCTAAATTCTAGACGATTTTTTGTCTAAGTATTGCATTCATTCAGTCTCGTAGGTTATTTTTAGTGCAGTGATGTATTATTCGAATTTAAATTTAAATTTATTTTAATTTAAAGTATCAATAGAAAGAAATGATAGTGATAGATGCTCAAAGAGGTAGTTGCGTCTACTCTTGTTCTAGATTTTTGTCAATAACACCAGAAAGTCGTGAATTCTTTTTAAAATTCTGCATTCTTTGCAATAATTATCAAGCTTTATTTTGGTATATATTCCTAACACCAACTTGACGTTTGAAAATTGGAACAGTTTAAAAATAAGTATCCACTGTTTTTGTTGCGAAGCGTTTAATACGAGTCGGAACAATACAAGATGCAACGAATCATTAAGCCTGTTACTTTTTAATTAATTGATAGTCTCGTAGATAGTCGATAGGGGGGCAGTCATTAATACAATAATCTTAAAGTTGAAGAGTTTTTTTGTTCGTTTGAACGCACTAATCTCAGGAACCATGGGTCCGATTTGAAAAAATATTTTTGTGTTGGATCGCCCATTTATCGAGGAAGCCTATAGGCTATAAAACATCACGCTACGATCAATAGGCGCCGAGCAGAGCGGGTGAAACCACGCAGCAGTAGCTAGTACGAAATAATATAACTCTGACTTAATATGTCCGTAATCATATACCTGAACCATGAATGGAATTACTAAGGATTCTTTTTTCGTTTTGTCTATGGTAACCGTGATCGTTTCTAGTTTTTTAGTTTATAGACGGCTGGGTACCCTCAATAAAACACATGTGTTTGCATTGTTGGATTTTTTGTGCTAGGTAGTAGGTAGGTGGGTACTAGTAAGAGGTAGAACATTCCTGATGATAAAATACCAACACTACTAAATAAAATACATTTTGTAAGATTACAAACTGATAAGCTTGCAGATGGCATTTTTTAAATATTCTGAAGTATGTAGGCATACTTGCTTACATTGAAACATATCCATTCTTTTTCATCTTGTTTAAAAACCACGTATAAAAATCGCACTTTGATACAAATATGAATATTTAATTTAACATATATATTAAATACACAATGACTCGTGTATTTACAATAATAATTATCTAGAAGCAAACCAATTTTACATGTTTACATACTTATCAATAACTGCTACATAGATTTAACCTTCTATTCCAATAACTGAACAAAATAATAATTTATGAATACATTAAAGGCTCACCTGAATGTTTTGCTTAACGCTTCGACGATTGACGATAAGTTCTCTATCATTTTTATTTCACTTTTCACGGAATCACTTTTTGTGTTAACACATGAATGAGACACGACCGCGCGCGTCTAAGTTCAGCTTACAACTGAGTTAGATAGAATTAAGACGATTACAATCTGTTCGTCAATGTCAACTTCTTTTGTTATTGCCATGAAATAATGTTTAGGATAAACGATGTGTTCTTGTGTAAAGTACTAATTACCGAGTGGATTTGTCAACCATATATTATTATTTTTCGATACTCGATAGGTATATTTTTTCCTCGAACCTTGGCGGGAAGAGATAAAATGCCATTGACCATTTATATTCAGGAATGGAACGGATTTGAATTGTTTTAAATTATGTTTTTTAATTGATATATAATGCAATTCGTCTAGGATGGGAAAAGGTACCTACTAGAATGATTTAGATTTTCCGAATTAAAAGAATGTTCAATACAGATAAACAACAATTCATAAACATCGTTTATTACGAAATAACAGAAAAATTAAATAACAAAACGAAAATAATAGTTCCTGTTCACACTTTGCAGGTAAATAATAATTAATACATTTTAGAAATATCCGGCAGGGGAGACGGCTAGTTATATTAGGATCAAGTGGTATTTCACACGAACAGGCGGATAGACATGCATTTTCCTTAATGGCTTTAATTAAATACGTTTTCATTAAAATGTTTACAAAAAAACTCATAAATAGGTATCCATCCAGTTAAAATATTTTTAATAGACAGTGACGTTTACACATCGGAACGTAGGTATCTTAGTACTTTGTTAAGTACCTAGATGTTTGTTATACACCTCCGAAATGAGTTTTATTATTAGGAGACACAAATCTTTTGATTACGTCACAGCTTTTAAGGTATGAGGTTCAAGCAGAGCGACATTATCCCTAAGGCAAGCTTGCTGGGGCAAGTGCCTACTGTCTAAGGTCCCAGGATACAGATGGGTGTCGCGAGACGCGCGTGTCCTACAGCCTATAGAAAAAATTTGATGCGTCTGTGAGGTGCTTGCCTAGGACGCTCTATAGGTTTAATCCGCCTCTGAGTTCAAGTAAGAAGGACCTAAGCACCTACCTAGGTTTAGCACGAGATGATATACATGTTACTTAGTTAATTGCCATCACTATCAATAATACTCCTGAAGTGTTTGATCCTCTGCTCAGTCTCCTTGATGGAATCTTTCATGTCCTTGTGTATTTCACTGTATGCCTTGATCGACTGATTCGTTTCAGTGAAGATATTCTGCAGAATTTGTAAGTGAAGAATCCTGCAGGGACAAACATAAATTCTTTGTTATTTTTTGTAGAAGTCTTATGAAAATTTAACTGTGGGAGAGCCATACTTCGGCACGAATGGGCCGGCTTAACAGGAGTGATACCACGGCCTCAAAGAATACCGACGTGAAACAACGCTTGCTTATGTTTCGTCGTGTGAGTGAGGGTACCGGAGGCCCAATTACTCCTCCCCCCCCCTGCCCTAATCTCCACTTCCTGATTTTCCAACAATCCTCAAATTCCTAATCCCCAAAAGGCCGGTAACTCACTTGTAACACCTCTGGTGTTTCGGGATCCATGGACGACGCCGATTGCTTACATCAGGTGATCCGTCTACTCGTTTACCGGCTTATGCCATAAAAAATGTAGCTACATCTGGTCCGTAGTCCGTACTTGTTTAGTAAGTATTATGGATGAAAGTCGTTTCTAACCGGCCTATTTGGAAATCTTTGGGCCTATCTTCTTAATCTGTGGCTGATATGATGATGAATTGGTCTAACATCATAAAATGCGAGTGCAAGCAGCCAGCAATATGTCACAAACTCGGTTCGTGTTGAAAGAAATTGGTGAAGATTATGATTTTTAATTCATCAGCCATTTGTTTCAATAGAGTCTGGACTGAAGTTATGTCTAGGTAGTCTAGTATTTGGAAAAAGACTCATCTGCTACTATTAAAGGATTACAATAAAATAACCCACATAACTATTTGCTTATAGTTATAAACTATCGAACTTCTTTAGGCGCCTAACAAAAATTACTGAGCAGTAACAATGTGTAGCTACTTACATTCAATTTAAAAAGTCTGGCTTTTAGTTGGCGTTGGCTTTTAATGTTCAATGGTAATGTTCTTGTGATTTTTTTACAAACCTATTAAGTTTAGAGATCATAGTTCAATCCTAAATTATCAAAAGTTAGCAAGGTAACTTATGTTTATTTTGGCCATGCCCATGACCCATCCATGAGTAGGTAAGTCTATTGAGTTGTAATGAACAAACAATAAGAAGTCATTAGTAAAGTTGTCAAATCGTAATTATTGTTTATAATGTCTCCTCGATACTACCACAGGCCACAGACTAGTCAAATTCAATACTTTTATCGAAACGTCAAAAACTATACTATGAATTTTGTACGAAATACCATCTTAAGACGTCATCATATATTCGCATCAAATAGTACACGTATGTCTAAAAAAAACTAGAATAAATAGAAAATTTAGTATATCGGCAAATCAATGAATGAAAGTGTAACTATTTTGAACATTTATTTGGACCGAAATAACAAAATAATTTATTTTTGACCCAGGACTCTACACAATTGAGAGGTCTGTCTGCCAAATCAGGAGTTTTAGGTTCAATTAGAGAATTCAGAAAGAAGATCAGTCAAGTTAAGGAAGGTAAAGATCAGTTAGGTGTCGCAGTAAGACCTACTATTTACAAAACAAGAGAACCTACACAAACATATTAAATTGTACACTAGTCTGGGAATGGACTCAAGGACTGCTATCATACTTAGACCACTCAACAATGGGGCAATCAAATTAAAAAGCAATTTTGTTATAACTAGCACAGTGAAGCTTTTGGGATTCTTTCTTAGTATTTGGCAAGTAAAATATTTACAACATAGCATTTTAAGTAGGTAAATAACATGATTGGACAAAAATGGGTGTAAGTAATGTATGTCAGTATCACAGTAGTATTTTTTTCTTTATATTGGATAGGCCGACGATCAACATAATGAAGATATGTTCTAGGTATTTTTATTCATAGCAATAAAGTTCAAAATCTGTTAATGAATTTTAAAAGATATGCTAGGAGCCTCAAAACAAAAAGATTATAATATGGCTTTGTTAACAAGAGTCTAAGACTATGCTCAGCTACCATAACTGGCACTCACATCCACGACTATAAATAAAAACATATACTTACTTCGACTTCAAATCCAAGATCTTAGTCTTCAGAGTCAGCAGCTCACTTGAATCATGACTGAACTTGGTAACATCCCGCAGCCTATGATTCAGCCACTCCATCATCAGCTCCACTTTCTCACTCTCCTGTTCTTCAAGAGTGCTCAGTTTATTATCAATACTGTTCTGAAGTTCCTTCTTCTCATCCTTCAGTGGCTTAGCGGTGCTAGTTGACTGTTTAAGATGTTCGAGTTCTGCAGTAAAGGCTGGCAACTTTGTTTGTATCTTTTGAAGAACTGCCTGGTTAAATTCAGACTGTTCATCAAATGTTAGCTCGGCTGCGGACTGGTGCATGAACCCTGGAAGGAAATAGGTTCTGTTTAAGATTTGGTAAGGAATAGCTAGTGTGTTTTGTAGTTGATAGTGCAATCTTTAATTGTTGGTGTTGTATTTGATTTGATTCAGTGCTTGCTTTGAATGAGTTAGTTAGAGTTCAAATAGTGATTATATGAACATGGTGTAGTTATTTTGTACCACAATGAGGATAAAGATGATCAGTGTATTGAATATTATTGTTCAGTGACTATTCTTGGGCTGAGTATTTTTTATAACAACTTACAGCAACTACCTAGTCATAAAATGAATAAATTCTTACCCAGAACAGTAGCAGTGCTTTCATCTCCAGTACTGAGCTTGTGCAGGCTCGAGTAATAAGACAGGTCACAGTCGGCAATAATCCGGTTCACTTTGCCTTTCAGTTTGTCTGGCAATTTATTATTTTCACTACAAACTTCCCTAATAATCTCAAGCAGAATATTTTCTTGGGTCATTTTAATGTCCATGCAAACATTCTCTGTGCTCGTTACAGAATCTACTAGATAGATAATTACTTGTGTACTTTTTGTAAGATAAATAAAACACGGAGCTTAATAGTAATATTTTAATCGTAAACAAATCTGTTTCCACGACAACCGTTTGTGATTTGATTTTGAAGTTTTGAACGTTGCGATTGATTGATGAACGCATTGCATTTCGTGTATGTTTATAGAATTAAACTATGTAATGTTATTTTGGATTCATTTTCGTTTAAAGTGTGGTTCTAAAAAAATCATATTTATATTTAAATTATTGTAGTAAAATTACGATTATCGTAAAATGTTTTGTGACATTTTGAACTGCAAAAGGGGTAGCGTTCTTTACTTTTGTTCGTAGTTTCATTTCTGAACTGATTTTATCCAGCCAAATGTGATATAGTTTTGTTTTCCTGTCAACCAAATGCCAACATACTTCATCTCTTTCTATCATATGTAAACGCGCGCAACACTAGCGCTCCTACCTATTAATTATTAGTTCATCTATTCCTACTTAATTTTCCAAGATATAAACCATACCTACCTTGAATCTTGATGCTTGATCGTTGTTGTTCTTGCATGCATCTTGCAGTCCAAATTTATTTATTTTAGAAAGTTTACGTAGTTTTAATCGTAAAATGTGAGTAATTGTCACATTTTCAATTGCTAGATTTGTTTATTATTGAAAAATGTCGTCAAATAGTACGGATTCATTCAAGAAGTCGACGGAGTCGGAAAGTGGATCCAACAATGCTCACCATCAAAGCGAATCTCAAAAGCCGGGAGAAAATGCAGACAGAAACAAGTCGAATAAAACCTCTAATGAATCTCAAGGGAACTGTTACTGGTCGGTAAAACTCTGTATTCATTTTCATTTAAAAATGGAATGCAGTTTCATCAATAACCTTTTTCTGATTTTAGCGGGAAAGATCGAAATCTAAATATTGCAGAGTTGCTGTGTGCTTCTTGTAATCGATGGTTTCATGAATCTTGCATTGGTTACCAGCTTGGCAAGTTGGTACCGTTCATGACAAACTATTTGTTTATTTGCAAGAACTGCTCTCCGACTGGACTGGAAACATTTAAAAAGAATCAAGCTCGTAAGTAAACAAATAATAAGACAAACAAGATGTATTTTATCTTTGCTTTTTGCAATGCTAATATACTTAGGTGTCAATCAATGAACCTGTGGCTTGACCTTCAAGGTAAATGGCACACTAATCAGTGTAATGAGATAGTTGTGTTAGTGTTTACAGTAATTTATCTCATTACCAACCTCAATGGTTCTCTAGATCTAAATAAGTGCTAAGTATTAAGTTATTCAAAGTAAGATATGATTTTTCAGTTTAGAAAGTTTTTGTTATGGTGTGTGTCACTCATAAAGTTATAACTGACTTTCGAAAAGAACTCTAAAAGCTATTATACAAATCTATGTATATTCTTTTAAAGTTGAATGTTCTGAAATACCTATACCATTTTATTAGGAGCTTAATATTAAGTTAATCCAGTTAATACCATCCATTATGTTACAGCATTCCCGCAGATGTGTCTGACAGCCATTGCAAACTTGCGTCAGGAGTCAGCAAAGGAAGGCACCAACAGACTCCTGTTCAGCAAAGACCGGGAGATCATACCGTACATAGACCAGTATTGGGAAGCTATGACCACCATGCCAAGAAGGTAAAATTTGTTTTTCCTTTATTAAAAAAAACCTGACCCAATTTTATTTGCTTTTGTATTATGAGGGCATTACAAATAGAATAATTGACATTTATATCACTCTCAGATGTGAATTATCAATTAGTGAATTACACAAAGACTTTTTTTTTCCTTCTTTGGCAACCGAGTCTCCAAAACGGTGTTGTCGACTATACTGCCAGTGTCGAGTGGTGACAGCAAAAGTTCCACGTGGCAATCGAAGCTGTGACCTGAGCATAGGGTTGGGAATTTAACCCAATACCACTTGTTTGGCAGTTGCTATTAAGTAAAACAGTACCAAGAAGTATTTAATTTTTCATTGATTATATCAGATTTTATTAATTTGAATTTAATGACCCTGTAGAAAAAAGGTTTTATTCTGGTTTAGTCAGTAAAACTGCCAGAGATAAGTAGATTATCTATTAAAAAAACAAAAGTTAATCTGTCAAGAAAAGTGCAGATTTTGGAAAATCGCAGGTAAATAAAACTTCTTAAAAATATTTACATTTTACATTGTAATATTCCTTACTGTGACAACACTATAAAACAATTTTGTTTAATGTAAGTGGTAGTTTTATCAAACACTAGTTACTTCTCTGCGGGCCACATGCTCTGCTCAGCTCCTATTGATCATAGTGTGACGTCTTTTCTAAGATTTGCGTGTTAAAAGAAACAAACTTTACAGGTTTATATGTACAATAGTATAAAATTAAATTTATAGATGTTCATGTCTGTAATAACAACATAAAGTTAGAATTTTAAACCAAATACTTACAAGTTAATGATGGTATATCCCCTCAGATACCAGCAATATACTTGTAACTCCTTTGGGACTTTAGGTATCCCATGAGTGACATTGCTTACATACACCAACCATTTGGCCATTTTTACAACCAAAATTGTCTGAATTACTATGTTTTTCAGATTACACACATAACTGTTTGATGAGAAACTCAAATAGCAAGCCAAAAAATGTAACAATATAGTATGTATCATGAAAATTGTAATATAAATAAAATTGTCTTTTCTAAACCAGACTTTAATTCCAGAGTGACCCAATCCTGGTATGCAACAGTTCAGAGAGCACTTATAAAAGACATTCAAGTGCTGTTTACTTATGAAGAAGACGCTAATCAAGGTCCTATGTTTGGCTTGTACAATATGGAACTAACAGCTATCAAGCCTAATTACGAAGCTATGATCAAGCAAGGGCAGCTAAAAGTTACTGATATGGGAATAGCTACAAGTAAGTTAATTTTCTATTTTATAAGATCACATCATCAACTGCTTGGCCGAGTGGTCGTAAGTGCGACTGCCGGGCAAGGAGTCTCGGGTTCGATTCCCGGGTCGGGCAAAGCATTACTGGATTTTTTAAAATCTCAGTAGTAGCACGGAGTCTGGAAATGTGCCCGGTATATGGCAATAGGCTCACCCTCTATTACATGGGACTCGTAACATAAATAGTGAAAAGTGGGTGTTACATTGTAGCATTAAGTGGCATTAAGTGCCGTAATGTGCACCTCTGCCTAATCCTTGGGGGATAAAAAGGCGTGATGTTATGTTATATTATAACAGCACATCGACTATGAATAAAATAAATTTTCCATAATCTCCATGCTTGGCTGACGGGTTGGAGATACTGTCTTAAAAATTCAAAAGTTTCAATTTTATTTATTAGAGATTGTTGATATAGATTTTGCCATAATATAATAGTTATAGCTCTGCTAAATATACATATAAAAACATTCAACTTCATAAAATCTGGTGGTGTGGCAATCTTAGGCGAAATTTGTTTAAGTTCACGCTTCATTAAACCTCTTTTGTTGTGAAAAGTTACAATTCTGTTTGTTTCCCACAAGGTAGGTAGTAACTTTTCTTATTTAATTACTGATTGGTAATGTAAAGTCTAAATATCAATCAAATGTGGTACCTATATTCAAAACAAGTATTGTCTAACATGAAACATCATAATTTCCAATATTAATATTTAAAGGAAATCCTTAACTAAATTATATCCTTGAAATTATGTATAGCATCGATCTGTTAAACTCCACTTATTTATATTCAACAGAAAAACTGAACACACATTAATTTCATAATATTTATCAAGAAGATTCCAACTTTAATATGTACAATAACAATTCAATGACAATTCTCTTAAGACCAATCAAGTACTTGAAATAAATTAATATTTATTGTTGTTATAAATCATAAGTTAATCGCGGTAGAATACTATTTACAGTCGCAGGAAAGAGTATTGTGACGAGCGCGACCTACTAATCTGACCTCAATAAAATAACGTCAGGTTAGAATTGTTGAGTAGTATAAACACCATAATTGACCGACTAACATGTCGCTTTGGAAACTGTCCAAAACACTGAAAAACTTATAGATATATAGTTCGTAACGCGCGTTGCATACTCACAGTAAAGTGTAGAGCCCACCACAAAGACATGTTATTGAATAATGACATTGTTCTTTATGCATTGGTGTATGTAAACACCAACTCCGCGACGCACACAGCGGCGGCATTAAAACACTATATTCTACGTTAGTGTGTTCGTATATTCGCCGATAAGTACACATAGGACCGTCGCGTTAGCCGCGCGATTTCTCCTTTATTGATTTTAGATTTAAATAGTTCACTTCATAATCACCTTGAACTTTATGGCTGGTAAGTTATGTCAAATTATTTTTATTTTCTCTCTTCGAATTCACTGTCGCACCGTAGAATGTTATATGCATACATAATTAGTTTACACGGCTATCTGTTATCAGAATCGTAATTTGCCTTGAACAAATGTTTACATATAGGTAGCTACGTCTATGTATTGGCGTCGTGTTTTTATCTCGTTAAAGTAACGTTATGTATAAGGTTAAAAGTATTTTTATTCCATATACCTATGCGAGGTAGGCGGGTTGTTGATGTAGGGTGTTCCACATTGTTGTGCTGTTTGTCACGTAAGACCCGATAGGATCGCGTTGGTTCGTCTCGATACCCGGACTTTATCTTATCATCACTTGCACTAAATATATGACAAGTTTGTCAGTTAGTCAAGTTATCGGTGTTGACGACATGGATAGTAAGTTGTAAAGATTTTAATTGATTTTAGTATATTTAAATGGTTGGTCTCTGTGGAATGGTGTTACATCCTTTTGCATAAATAATTGTTTCCTGCTGTTATGCCATTGGTATGGCTGGCGTGCACAATGCGAGTCGCTATTATTCGTTTATTCAATTAGGAGTTGATCGTCGTCTTTGCAATAAAGCTGCATTTATTTTAGCCCGTTAATATCGTAAAATCGCATGTTGTTACGTTGTTTATTGCCGTCATAAAGATATTTTTCTCATATTAAACCACAGTTTAATGAGGAAGTTGTAAGCGTGGCCGTGCCGCGACCGTTATCTTCCGTAGGTATTTTGTACAAATATCGGTGTTTGTGACGGATAATATTATAATTAATAAGTAGGTATGTCGATTTTTCTCTTACTAAAACTTGCTCTATTCAAAACGTGTAGGTTTGGTTTGGATCGATTTGACATGGATAACTACAGGTCAGTGCTACCAACTAGTTAATATAATTGGAAATAACGCGCTCAATAAGTCCCATCATGTCCATTATGCGACTAGTTAGTTATAAATAATTTCGTCCACGGAGCTTTTCTTAGAAAGTCATACCGTGACGCACGCCGAGCTTTGTCCTTGTTTCACCCCATTGCGAACAGAAAACCTTCATAAATAATGCCTACTTCAAATTACTCTCTCTTCGTCATTTGAATGAGGGGACAAAATGAATAACAAAACGTAATGGATTAGTTAGTTACTTTAATTTTTTAGTATGTTATCGGGGCAGTGCTGTTTGTCAATCTCTTTCATATTTTAGAGATCTTTAACTGGGTAAATTGAATATTGCACGTCATTTATGGTAACGGCCAACAAGCCAATAAATTGCTTCGATGTAAAATGAGGTCACGCATAATGTTTGCTCTAAAAGGCAGCATCTGTCACCGTTTGCTTACAATCCACGTTCGCAAAGTTATTGTTACTCCTATATTCATTAAACAATATCATCATTGCGTATGATCACTTATTCGCTATTTTAGTCTGCAGAGTTATAAATAGAATGACTTGAGGTTATAAAATGTATTTGAATGCGCATATGAATGTTAATACATATAAATCCATTACATATGTGGTCATTTTGTCATAAATATCGTACTAGCTTTCAAATATTTACTAATTTATAAACACACTTCAAAATCTATCTACTTACTTCAGAAACTTCCAATGTTTTGGACTACGTCGAGATTAGACAGACACGCTGAGAGAGTTTTCTTAAAACACTAGCTTTTACCCGCGGCTTCGCTCGCGTCACTTAAGGATAAAAAGTAGCCTATGGGACATATACCAATACACACAGCGCCATCTATACCGACACTTTTGTTTTCCCTCAGGAATATTTAATATATTTAATAATATTTATAATTTTTTCCGGGATAAAAAGTACCCTATTATTTAATCCAGACTTCTAACTTTACGTCTGCAAAAATTCAAAGCAATCGGTATAGTAGTTACGGCGTGAAAGCGGAACAAACAAACTCACTTTCCAATTTATAATATAAGTAAGGATAAGTAAGGATTCCATTATATTATCTCTTGGCCCCTACAGGTAGTTACAGGTAGTTTGACACTTACCGCATGTTTTGCTCGGAAGTAGCTAGATAGTAATTTCAGTTTTATCTTTTTAGTTCACACTTGACAGAACATGCTTGCTTGTACCTAATACCATTACGAGTATAAATACTCCTTATTATTCCAAATTATTCGAAAAATGTCCGTTAAGTCCGCGGCTGTTCTGTACGAACGGAGCGGCTGTTCAACTGGTCACGAATCAGCGCCATTATCATTTTAAAACCGACTGAAATTCTCGTTCTCTTGACTTCTATAGAAATATTTCTAATATATCCTTATTATATAAAAGTTAATAAATTAAATACCTTATCATAGTATGTATGTATTATTTCAATCCCTAAACGAGAAATTAGTATTAAAATTTCCCTGTATAAATGTATGTACCTAATAGGCTACAGTATACATACATACATACGTACGTCACATAGCAATGCAATCAAGTTTGGAGCGAGCCGCTAATTGCATAGGTGTTCATTATGAGCGGTGCTAATTTTCTTCCAACTCATAGCTGATGAAAATGTATTTGTTTATTTAATGATTTCACCACGTGCGCTCTTGTTTCGAAACGTTTATTTAATTAGCGGGTTTGATAAAACATAAAATAATATTTTAGAATGCACTTTTCACACAAAAATAGAATGTGATTTTGTTGTCTCCCTTTATTTGTATTTTCATGTTAGATAGATGTTTTATTACCTACACAAAATTCGTTTGTTTTTTCTATTTTTTTTAATAAATGCGTCTTATGATTTAAATTCCCGTACGCTTCGCTGTGAGGCCATCGCAAATGTAGGGGATGTCTATCAGGAATATCTATAATTGGGTCATTGTCAATTGTCAGGATTGAATGAATTTATGAGCAAAAACTATGAGCATTAATATTACTACCTTCCTTTTTTAAGTAGTGTAATATAAAATATGTTCACCTGCGATTGAACCAATTTCATAAGTAGTTTGACTGGCCACTGTTCAGATGTTTTTATTTGTATTTTGTTGTTTTGTTCTTTTTTGTACATATTATTATTTTAGTGTTTGTGGTGAGTGCTGTATTGGCCACCATTTTATAGTGTTTGTTTTTGAAGTGACGACTTGTTAGTGGCCTACAATTTTTACTAGGGTGCTTATTCTTGAAACCAATCTTAATTTCAATCCAATAAAATCTCAATAATTATTCAATGTCAAAACTATACAAGCCGTATCTTAGCTGTTAAAATAGCATTCAGAGTACGGAATATAAAGCCAAACTCAATATAATTTAGTTCATTAAATATCCACGCAATACGGATGCAATGGGCGCTATGTTGCAACTCAAGAAAGAGTACGAAATTTAACAATACCAATGTCCATCAATCGGAATTGGATTCAAGAGTAATCCCCTGTTTTGTAAGCTGTTTAGATTAAAGGCATTATTATATTAATTTTCATGCATTCAAAAAAGCATTATAATTATTTTTTCAGTTCCGTTGGCAGGTAATGTGAAGGGTAGACAGGGGAAGCGCCGGCCGGCTGTGGGCGGGGCTACTGACACAGGTGCTACAGTCGGAAAGAAGGGTCGCACTGCTGACTTAGGCGCTTTGAAGCTACCTTCACATGGCTACCCTACAGAACATCCATTCAACAAAGATGGCTACCGTTATATTCTGGCTGAACCTGATCCACATGCACCTTTTAGACAGGTGAGATCAACAAATAGCATCAAATCTATCTCTTTCTTCCCATAAAGTCAATGATAGAACAATGTTGTTTTCAAAGTACCTTCAGGTTTTGCGAAACGTAGTTTGAAAACATCCTTGAAATTCACAGAATTTAAATAATGGATTCGCTTGTGATTCAGTGTGGGTATTGTTTATCGTCATTTTATTACAAGACGTATGCGACGTATACGGCTGCCTTCTGCACAATCAAAGAATTGTATAATAATTGTTCTTGGTCTTAGGCAGTTTTCATAATGCATCTATTTAGTATCCACTGCACTGTCTCTCTTTAAGTAGAAGTCTCAACGATGCCCCAATATTAGGACACTTATCATACTTCATACAAAATTGAATACACCGACTTACTTGATTCACACCTTTGTCCTATTGATAAGAATGTAAAAGTTCAAAGCGACTATGACCCTTACATACTTCTTTCTACTATAAAATCTATAATGAATTGCTTACAGGAGTTCGATGAGAGCAACGAATGGAGTGGCAAACCGATCCCCGGTTGGTTGTACCGGTCACTATGTCCTGGTATAGTACTACTGGCACTGCACGACCGCGCGCCGCAGCTCAAGATATCCGAGGACAGACTCGCGGTCACTGGGGATAGAGGATACTGCATGGTGCGAGCGACACATGGTAAGATATTGCACGGAACATGTTGTACTAACACATTACGATATACCAAACACAAAGAGAAACCTGAAATTCATTAAAGAGTATGATATAAATATATATTTTGATGTCTATATTACTTGTAGAGCCTCATACTTAATCTCTAAAATGCCAGCAACGCATTTGTAACTCCTCTCGGGCAGCGCCAATTACTTACCATCGAGTGGATCCGTTGGCTCGATTGGCGCCCTGTCTCAAATAACGTTTATTTTTGTACGTTCTGTAAATACATTAAATAAGTATTATTCCAGGTGTATCTCGCGGCAGTTGGTACTGGGAGGTGTGTGTGGAGGAGATGCCGGAGGGCGCGGCCACTCGGCTCGGCTGGGGACGACGGTATGCCAACCTGCAAGCACCGCTAGGATACGACAAGTTCGGGTATTCATGGCGTAGTCGGAAGGGGACTAGGTACGTATATCTGTTCATTGGACCCTTAAAATTTCGCTATGTCAATTATTTCCTATGTCGTGGTTGAGTTTACCAATCCATTATTTCACATTCGCATCACACCCAAACCCAGAACAACATGTTAATCAATACAACAAAATCAAATGGTGAATGATGCTTGTTCAGGACTTCTATTTAAAAAAATAATACTTTGGTTTGGTGTTGTAACTGACTCTGAAAATTAACATCTAAACAGATTATGTTATGCACAGTCATGTATCAGTTAAAAATTTGTGAGTGACTTACATACAACTGCCTCGTTGGCCGAGTGGTCGTAAGTGCGACTGCCGGGCAAGGGGTCTCGGGTTCGATTCCCCGGTCGGGCAAAGTATTACTGGGTTTTGATCAAAATTTTCAGTAGTAGCACGGAGTCTGGAATTGTGCCCGGTATATGGCAATAGGCTCACCCCTATTACATGGGACTCGTAACATAAATAGTGAAAAGTGGGTGTTACATTGTACAGTGGCAATAAGTGCCGTAATGTGCACCTCTGCCTATCCCTTCGGGGGAGAAAGGCGTGATGTTATGTTATGTTACATACAATAAAAATTTAACACTGTCCAGGTTTCACGAGTCTAGAGGCAAGCACTACAGCAATGGGTACGGCGAGGGCGACACGCTAGGTTTCCTTATTGTTTTGCCACAGAGTGCCACCACTAAATATACGCCCAATACTTATAAGGACAGGGTAAGTGTATAACAGCATGATTTATTATTTGAGCTTGTAAGTGTGCAACAAGCTCATGCCTGGTTCTGAAATCCTGCTTGTTAGAAATTGATGTTGTTGTTAGTTATCTAATTGCCTTATGTTTGGTTCTTTTCAGCCACTAGTAAAGTTCAAGAGCCATCTCTATTACGAAGATAAGGATAACATACAAGAATCTCTAAACAATCTCAAACCTTTACCTGGGAGTAAGATCTATTACTTCAAGAACGGAGAATGTCAGGGCGAAGCATTCCTGGACATTTACGAAGGCTGCTACTATCCTACTGTGTCACTGTTTAGGAATGTCACGGTCAGCGTGAACTTTGGACCTAATTTTAAACATGCACCGTCTAGCGAGTTTACGTATAGACCGGTAAGTGTATGACGAATATTCGTTTTGCCTGTTTTTGTACAACAGAGTTAGAATTAGAACGAAATTAGAGTTGATGTCAGTTTGGTGGTGCTGACCAAGCGAGGGCGAAATAACGAATTGCTAAAAAGGCGAAACTTCCAGGACCTAATCCGACCCTGTCAATGTTCATGTGGAATGTTCCATTTATGTTCTAAAATACTAACTAACTGAGCAATTTTTAAACAAAACTTGTGTTTTTTCAGATGTCAGAAAAAGCAGAAGAAGCTATCTGCGAGCAGACCATGGCAGACTTGCTCTACCTGACTGAAAATGAGGGCAAGCTACGATTGGATAATTTCAACCTCTGATACAACTAACACCGTTAATCGCGGTGTGAAATGAATGAATGAAATGAGTGCAGTGAAAGTGATCAAAGTGAACTATTTGAAACCCACTGTACAACATTGTACTCCAAGACAATACTAATTAATATACAAATAAAAATGATTATAATCAATCAGTATTTAAGGCTCAAAAAAGTTTGCTAGCTTTTTGCCATTGTAAAATTAGGCCTCTAAGATTATAAATTCTTTAGACAATTAAATGTAAATCAAGTAACAAAATTATTGAACAAAATGTTGATCAAAAAAATATTTTTAGGAGAAAAACATATTAATATTATACAATTTATCCTATAAAATTATAATGTGAAGTACAATATTTTGCCATTAAAATTATGGTGCATTCAACATGTTATGAATTGATATCTCGAATTTTAATATTGTAAATCATTCTTGAAATATTGTTTATCCTTTAAAAGTACATGATGTACAGTTTTCAAATAATATCATTGTTGTTAATTGGAATGGCTAGTATTGTAAGAAACTGAATGTGTATGATAAGTTGAACATGGAGTTAAGTTGTATTAAATGAGTATTACATAATTGCATTAATATTTGTATGGAATTGTCATCTACAATAGTAATATTGATCTGTTGAAAGTCCAATTAGAATTATAAGAAATGGTATTAAGAATAAAGCTTTTGTCGTCATATTTTTTCGTTTTTGTTCTATATGGAATGGTTTTGTGATCAATAACTGATTATTTTTCCCAACAATAAACACAGACACACCTGTGCAGCTGGGCATTCGTTTTGTAAGTATATACATATATTATGCATCCTTGATATAGAACAATCCTTATAAAAAGAAAAAACTTCATTTGGGTTTGGTATCTATTTGGGGTATGCAGGCCTCTTTGTACTGAAGCATAGCTCAAGAACTATTTTACTAATGGGTCCACAAAATTAAATGCTTTTGGTCCGATAGATGATAATTCGTTTTACTTTAGAATTTTAGATAAGTACTCCCCTATTTTACTAGTCCTAACCTAACCAGTATGCTTGGTAGCTGACCGCAGGAACCATATCTACCAAGATATGAAGAGATTTTAGCCAACATAATAAAACAAGAAGAATTAAAATCAACATTTATTCTAAGTAAAACAATAACATGTATTATATTTTATTATTAAAAAGAAACTACTTTCCAAACCCACCTTTGCAAGTAGGGCTACTTTCAACGACTTGGTCACTACAATCCCATTGCTGGGGAGTTTTAGCTATTATGGATAAGGCATGGACTCCACTCTGGAGTTCATCTTTCAGAATGTCATTGACTAAGCGATGTCTCTGAAAAATAGACAAGGTATAGATAAAAATATTGCATTCTTTCAAACATAGTCGAGTTAAAATGGTCATAATTTTTCATTATCATTCCTGCACATAACTAATATGGTAGACAGATGCTTAGAACTATATAGCTATATAACTATAGGTAATGGGTTTAATTTTTATGAACTATATGAGGTACATATATATATGTGTCTAAATGTGGATCCACACGAGACACAATGTTTTTATATAGTGTCTTATATTGGTAGATTCAAGCGGTTAAACAAAGATAGAAGACAGATACCATGGGAAAAGAATTGATTAAGATATTCTATTTAAACTGTCAAACACCAAGCGGTCACCGGTGACCGCAACCTATTGTTCTATAATTGTGTCTACAAAACCGGTACTCGACGAGTTAATATTAGTGTTGATAGAATATAGAGTAGGTAGCAAAAGTAATAAGACAGTAGGTACCTGTTACACCAATCATAGACACAGGTAATCATGTTAGTTCTAGATTATTATTTTTTTCTTATATACTTGCTGTTGCTACAGCTAGTTTACTTACCTTGATTAATGGCAATCCTTCAAACTTATCAGAGACAACTACTACTTTAAAGTGCGTCTCGGCTCCTTTCGGCACATTATGCATATGGGATTCATTGATCACATCCAAATGTTTAGTGTCAAGTAAAGATTGCAATTTGTTCCGTATAGTGTATTCAACGATTCCTACCATTTCGGACATATTTCTATGGATGTTGAAGACACCTGAGACAATTATTACAAAGAATTAATTTGAAGAAAACTAGAACTTTCGAATTTGTTCAGAATATAACCTCTTAAAACTCACCCGGCCTTAAAATGATATTCATATGGTGTGTATGTAGTTTTATTACTTTGAATATAGTATTATAATTGCTAATTACGTTGGTTTAATATTTTTGTAAAACTACGTTTACGCTAAACAGCTGAAACAACAAACAACACAACGTCAAGCGTTAATCGTCAATGTCAACTTGACATGAAATACACTTATGACATTTTTTTTCGTTTTGAAATATTAAAACCTATCCTTACAAAAAATCGTTTCCTATTATCCTATTTATTTAGGTATTCTATAGACTTGCCGTTAATTAATGTTGATAAAATGAAGTGATGGTAGGTGAATACCAGGGAGGCAGGGAACCACTTAATTTACCTAATTATAAGGCTGCTGGGCCCAACGGTCAGGTCGCTCAGAGAGTTACTTGCGTGTTGTGAGTCCTATGCACAGACTCATGGCCTACTGTACAATGTTGCTAAGAGCGAATTCATGGTCTTTAAGGCGAGTGGTGGTAAATGTCCAGATTCTGTACCTGCAATTAGGCTTAATGATAATGAACTAAATCGTGTTTAACAGTTCAAATACCTGGGTCATTACGTGACCGACGACCTTAGGGACCATGTAGACATTGAGCGGGAACGTAGGGCGTTAGCAGTTCGATGTAATGTGCTGGCGCGCAGGTTTGCGCGTTGTAGCAAGGAGGTTAAAGTAACGCTTTTTAAAGCATATTGTCAAGTGTTCTACACGTGCAGCTTGTGGGCCGGCTATACTTTGCGGACTATCAGCGCCCTGCGAGTCCAATATAATAATGGGTTCAGAATGTTGATGGGACTGCCCCGTTTCTGTAGTGCATTTGGCATGTTCGCTCAAGCACACGTTGATGACTTCCATGCCATTATCAGACAGAAGTCTGCATCGCTGCTCTGCAGGGTGCGAGCCAGTTCCAACTCCATCTTGAAAACCATTGCAGGGAGGTACGATTCACCTATAATACATGGTATCGTGCGAAAATGTATTCCCAACAGTAGGCTTGTAACAATATAGGTACTAACATCACCATCACCCTATGGATGTTTCACTTGTCCGAAAAAAACATTATTTTATTTATTTATTTATAAAAACATTGGGTAATACTGACCGTTAGTAACTAAGCAGACTGCCTAGCTGGCCAAGTGGTCGCAAGTGCGTCTGGCGGGCAAGGGGTCTTGGGTTCGATTCCCAGGTCGGCCAAAGTACTACCGGGTTGTAGCACGGAGGCTGGAATTGTGTCCGGTATATGGCAATAGGCTCACCCCCTATTACATGGGACTCATAACATAAATGGTGAAAAGTGGGTGGTACATTGTCCAGTGGCATTAAGAGCCGTAATGTGCACCTCTGCTTACCCCTTCGGGGATAAAAAGCTTGATATTATGTAGAAGATGTTGAAGGAAAAATATAGAACCATAGTTAATACAAGTTTGCAGGTCGAAATAAATGTAGGCAATAAGAATCAACAAATAGTCGAACTATCGAAAACTGTGATCATGGAAGATACATGTGCAATGTGCATCTATAAATATTAATTGCTATAAGGTTGTTTATTGAAGTACAAGTAATTGCGTCTGAATGCAAATAAAATTGTATAGATGAAGTGGTGACGGGAAAAAAATAAACCATAATATGATACTTTATTAGTATTATGGACAACTGATGCATGCTCATACTAGATACCTAATTCTGCGCAGTTTTAATTCCGTTTCACCCGCTCTGCTTGGCTCTTATTGAATGTAGCTTCATGTTTAATAGTGTTATGTTTTATATACAGTACCTATTCCTCGATAAATGCTCTATCCAACACAAAATAAATCTAGTAGTTCGGGAGAGTACCGTGTTCAAAGAAACAAACAAACACTTCAGTTTTAATAATAAAAAAACAATAGGTAATAAAAAGTGATATACTGTAGGTACTAGTAGTATAATACCACTATGTGTATACATTTTGCAATAAATAAATAGATAAATAAAAAAAGTATAAGGACTTCCTATAAGATTATAGGTAAAAAAGACCCTACCTACATATACCTATGTAGAACTATAAATAGTATCTACCACAATATAAAATCCGAAATATTAACTTGCTCTAGATTTTTTATTGGATTTGATGGATTGATTTTTCATTTGATATTGGGAGCGGAGTTTATTTTCGCACTCCCCATTCCTATTCCGTGATATATCGTACGATCAAATAATATCCGTTTTTCTTTTTCACTTTAACACTCAATTTTTGTTGGGTCACAGATTTTGTTATTAATGTTATGTTTTTGTTTGAAATATTGATTATTGATTTTCAATTGTTACTTTAGTATTATTGTTTTGTATATAGCGTGAGTTTTGTTTGAATAAATTTGTTCTAAGAGATTTGTCAATTGATATTTGATATCAATCGCTTAGATATAGTATATACCTTCGCAAACGACACTTTAGTTTTTAATGGAAGTATGTATGTTAAGAACATTGTTACTAACAATGGACTAGGTCTGAAATAAAGTCATTATGTTGTATGAAAGATAGAAGTTCAGTGACTAAATAAGACACAGACATAGAATTAACCACTGATAGAAAACTACGATACGGGCATTTATCAATTGTCTCAACTAAATTAAATAAATAATAATACTGCCTGGATTAAATAAATAATAAATAAATAAATCTACAGTACAGAAGTCGTCAGCAGTAATCAACAACAACTTTTTCGTAGCACCTAGACTATTTTCAAGAGTCGTTACGATTGCGAAGCAACAGTAGCGTATTGGCATAACAACGTAGCAGAATACTAAAGTAGGTACCTACATATGTACTTAGGTATTTACTAAGTATGGAATTATAGATTCTGGAAACTCACAAAGGATTATTAGCTCATAGTTCTTATCTACACAGTTTAGGCACGTTATAGGCGCAAAACGGCCTTTTTAGTGTCGATAAAACTATACCTATGTTGAGCCTAGATAAGCAACAAAAAAATCTTAAAACGCTATTCGTTTCTTACAACAATTATAACACCGGTTATATTGTACACGAATAGTTCGTGCTATTGCGCTTTTAACGCTAAGGCTTATCGGCTAGAGATCTCAACGGTTCATTGCAGCAAAAGTAATGTTTATACGCTGGCAACACTTGCGAGCAATGTTGCAATACTTAACTATTATTACGGTGCTGTTTTAGACCCGAAACATTAATGTTATTACGTACAAATTTTTATTACTCTATCATTTTTGGTGGGGATACTTAATTTTAATGTTTAAATTCATTTGGGTAGGGGCGTTTTAGCTATTTTCTGTCTTAATTTCTTCATCAAAGTTAGTGTACCTAAATGATGAGTTTGTGAGAATTGGCTGCAATTCTGAACTACGTGTTTTCTACCGTGGACTACCTACTAGAGTTTGGTCTAAGAATACTGGTTATAGGTATTGATGGTCCCATAACAAAACATAATCTTCGTTTTTCAAAAGTATTCGTAGCTCACTCATTCGTACTGAAGTTTCTACGACAAAACACCAACTTAACTGACTA